AGAAACTTGATGGCTTTGCGTTTTTCTTGCTACCTTCTCCAAAATAAAAAAATCTTGGCAAAAGCAATCGCCAGCCATTTAATTTTTTCGATCGGTGGAGACTGCTTTGCTGGAGTGCAAAAAAATTATATTAGCTACAATTGTTTTTGCCAGTTTTTTTTTCCTTGGTTGCTGCGATGGCTCGTCGATTTGGGAGGGCTTAAACTTTTGCAAATATCCGCAGCAATGTGCTTGAATTTTGTGAAGCTCGCACCCTTTGCAGTTTGGCCCTCTATCGTTCTAGAAATTCCAAAAATGGTAACAATCCAAAAAATTTAAAAATCGCCCCTGTCAAGCGTTTAAGGATCTGGACACGAGTAGAGTCCTCATTTTTGTGGATTTTTTTAAATTTGCGCCAAGTTTTTAAAAAAACGAGTTCCCTGCCTTTTGGTGTTCTGCTTTGTCACTTTCCTGGGTATTTTGCTTCATTTTTTTGGAGAATTTTTGGGCTCGCCAAAGCTATAATTTGCTTCCACTTTCTTCGTGGACTTGTTTCCTTTTCTCTTTACATTTTTGCGCTGAGTTTTTTGCTGTCGTGGTGTGCATTTTGTATTTTTGTTCGCGGTGGTGGCTGCTTCTAACACGACTAGAAACAGCCGATCCAACCACCGCGAAACCCTCCGGTGGTTGGGGTGGTGGCTGCTTTGGTCTCCCCGGCATTCTCTTAAGTAGCCACCCAGCCACCGTTAAAAAATATAAGATATCTACTTTCTTTCTTTTTACTTTGGTGGTTGGGTGGTCACTTAAGAGAATGCCGGGGAGAGATGCCCAACCACCAAGGCGACCACCCTCGTCACGTTGGTGGTTGCCTGGTCGTTTTCTAGTGCTTGTCAGCGAACAGCTCAACCAGCCACCGTCGTCACGTTGGTAGTTGGCTTGTCGCTTTCTAGTGGTTGCCTGCGAACAGCTCAACCAGCCACCGCCGTCACGTTGGTGCTTGGCTTGTCGTTTTCTGCTGGATGCCTGCGAACAGCTCAGCCAATCACTAATTGGAGCCTGCCTCTGCCGCGCGCATCAAGCGAAACGTCTGGCACTCTCTACCACGTGCGCACTGACGCGGCTAGTATCGGACAACGCGACGACTGCGAAGAAGACTCCGCACACTGAGGCGGGCGACGTCTGCGAGCTGGAACTCGATGCGAATCAGAACCGCGCGCCCATCCTTGAACGCGTGCAGCTACTCGGGCGCAGCAAATAAAGTCCATCAAGATAGGACAACGGGCGCCGGAAACGGTCAAGGGAGCCACGTCGCATATACCTGCGCGGTAATCGTACGCTGGTGCATGGAGTCGAACGCGTAAAAAGTCAGAGCGTCGGGACCTGGCGGGTGTGTGCCGACGCGTTACGTTCAGCGTGTGTTCCACCACGCCTCTAGTGCAGCAGCCGCGCGGAATCAGGCCAGCGCTAAACTTTCGAACGAATTCCGATAGCAAACTGCTGAGGCTTCGTCCACCTTGTGCAGTTGGATCGAAAAGATGGACCAACTGCGTCCCGCTCTTTGCTTGCCGTCTTGCTTGCCCCTCGCGCTGCTCTCCCGCCGCCGTCTTGCTTGCCCCTCGCGCTGCTCTCCCGCCTGCCTCTTCGTTCTGCCTTGGCTGACCACCAAGCGCAGCGCAGCCCTCGGAAGATGGTCAGCATCCGCGCCCCTCGCGCTGCTCTCCCGCCTGCCTCTTCGTTCTGCCTTGGCTGACCACCAAGCGCAGCGCAGCCCTCGGAAGATGGTCAGCACCCGC